AAACTAAGAAAACTGCAGCTAAGTAGCAAAAACTCATAAAAGATTAGCTAAAACCGCAGCTAAAATTAGGAAAAAATAGCTAAAACTCTTTTAAGGCTAGCTTAGAGTAATAAAACTAACCAAAATGCTAATAATGCTAACTTAATACATTTCATGCTAAGTTGAATATTTTGAAAATTATATGAATAAAATCTGATGAAGCAGAAAAATAATAAACAAGTGAACGGTGACTCATACAAATAAAAAAAACAATGAATTTGTTTATTTTTAGGACAAATCATTTCTGAAAAGTCAAACCTGTTAATTTTATTGAAGCAACAACTAACTTTAGTTTATAATAATATAAAATCAAACAGGCGAGTCGATTAATCAGACGTGGTTGTTTCTGCGCATGCGCGCGCACGGCTTCAGGTGGGCGCGCCTGTGTTGGGTTCTGAAAGGTTCTGGTGAAACTGGACGTGTCTGCTGTTGTCTGATAGTCAAATGAGGAGAGTTTGCAGCTCATTCACATGCAAACATCATCTGGAAACCTTAGTGAGGTGATTTCTGCTCAGTTTCACAACAACATGTAACATTTTATTATTCTGACAGGAGCCATGAGGCGGATTCAGCTGCTGCCCCTGAGTGTGAAGAGGCAGCAGCTCCTGTTTCCAGCAGATCTGGCCACGATGAAGACATTTTTCCCTCTTTGGCTCCAGTAGCCTTGGAGCTGCCGGGCTGAGGAGGAGGAGGAGGAGGAGGAGGAGGAGGAGGACCGGGCGGGCAGCAGGTGACGCGCAAAGAGGCGCAGCAGCTCCTCTTGGCTCAGATAAAGTCCTGGTTCTCGTATTTCCAGCCGAGCAGCAGATCTCCTGTTTCCCCCTCATGGCTCAGCGCTGCTCCTCTCCCGTCCTCCCTCTCGCGCTCCTCCTGTTCGGACTTGTTGCCATCCTGCTCCTCACGGTTCCGACGGAGGACGTCCAGGAGGCGCCGCGCTTCATGGTAAGGTCTGCTCTTCTGGGTGCCCTAACCCTGACCTGTCAGGTCCGGATCTGCAGCTGAGTTTGTTGTTCTGAAAATAACTCAGGAAGTAAAGTCCGAATTATCTGCATTTTATATCAACATGTTTAAATACAAACAAGCTGAACAAAATCTGCACAGCTAAAACTAACAGAACTATAGTTAACAGGTAAAACTGGTATAATAGTGGCTAAAACCACTGCAAAAGTAGCTAAAATTGAAAACAACTGTTTAAAACCTACAGCAGAACAGCTGCTCAAACCACCAAAAGAGCTAAAATTCATAGAYGAACCAGAAAGGCAGCTAAAACTGTAGTTCTCTTTGTTTTAGCTACTGTTTTGTTAGTTTTAGCTAGTAGCTAAAAACAACAAAAGAGAAGCTAAAACCAACAGAACTGAAACCATGAGCTAAATTGAGTAGAACAGTAGCTAAATGCTAAAAAACACAAAAGTAGCTAAAACCAGCCGAACAGTAGCTAAAACAAACTGAACAGTAGTTAAATGCTAGTTGAATAGTAGCTAAATGTTTAATTCAACACAAAAATAGCTAAAAACAGATAAGAGCTAAATTTTGTAGAACAGAAGCTAAATGCTAAAAAACACACAAAAGTTGCTAAAAAGCTAAAACCAGTTGAACAGTAGCTAAAACCAACAGAACAGAAACCATGAGCTAAATTTAGTAGAACAGTAGCTAAGTGCTAAAAACCACAAAAGTAGCTAAAAGCTAAAACAAACAGAACAGTAGTTAAAAGCTAGTCAAATAGTAGCTAAATGCTATAAAAACCTACAAGAGTATCTAAAAGCTAAAACCAGCTGAACAGTAGCTAAAACAAACAGAACAGTAGTTAAAAGCTAATAGAATAGCTAAATGCTTAATTCAACACAANTTTTCTCCCGTTTAATACAATGCGACAAATGCGTTTATTACAATGCGACAAATCACATCATGAAATAAATTAAATAAAAAGATTAACGAATTATTTTCGATATATAAAATCATTTAGTCCTCAAATAATCATCCTTACCATTTTGTTGCGTTGTTTTCTAGTTGATAGAAGAAGAAAAACTTATTAGTTTCAAACCAACTTCACTGTCGAGTGACGAACACAAAATGTCCTCAACGTCGGTCCGTTCGCCTTTTTGTTAAACGGACCGAACCATTATGACGTCACAAGAGGGGGAGCTACGGCTCGGACTGTACCACTGCTTCACCTCAAATAGGGAACAGTTAGCTGTTTCTAAACAGACAACATAGCTAGCTAAAGCTAATAGTAGCAAAAGACTGGCTAAAACGAGCGGAATGGTGGCTATGAGTAGCAAATTCTTAGCTTAAGCTAGCAAAAGGCTAATTAAAAGAAACTGGTAAAAATTTACATAAAAATTATTAAACTTAGCAGCTAAAATATTAAAACTAAGAGTAGCAAAGGACTGGCTAATAAACTAGCTTCATGGAGGATGTAACAGAATAGCAGACGTAGCTAGTTAGTAAGGAAAGACTAGCTTGTAGCTAAATGTAACACAAGGCTAGTTAAAAGATTTGTAGCTAAATGTAGCATAAGGTCATATATTAAACTTAAAATAAAAGAAGCAAAGTGTTATCTAAAACTAAGAAAACTGCAGCTAAGTAGCAAAAACTCATAAAAGATTAGCTAAAACAGCAGCGAAAATTAGGAAAAAAATAGCTAAAACTCTTATAAGGCTAGCTTAGAGTAATAAAACTAACCAAAATGCTAATAATGCTAATTTAATACATTTCATTTCATGCTAAGCTGAATATTTTGAAAATTATATGAATAAAATCTGATGAAGCAGAAAAATGAGTTATACAATTGAGTTGTTTATTTTATTGTGTTTAATGCACTCAAACCCATTAACATATTTTAAATATGTTGCTTTTTAAATCGGACTTCACTGGTTTAAGGAAATACACATGTTTAGATACATTTCCACAAAGATATCAATATATTACCTGATAAAATGTGTGTAAAGTGTTAGTTTTATTTTAAAAATGAGTTTTTCTTAATACCATATAGTTATAAAGGCATGTTTCCCTGACAGTCTTTCTAATATTTCAATTTATGAACTTACATCCGTGGAGTTATGAACCACAGGATCTTGATCCCAAGTGAGAAATTAGGCAAGAGATTTCACTTTTCTGTGATGTAGAAACAATAATGATCTATATGAAAAAATAATCTGTTAACAGATCATACATCAGCCGTGCTGTCTGTGACTTTAAACAGAGCCACAGAGGATGATGGAGTAAAGAGATGAAGTCCAGGTGTGTGTGTGTGTGTGTGTGTGTGTGCGTGCATGCGTGCGTGTGTGTGTGTGTGTGTGCGTGCGTGTGTGTGTA